CCCATCAATCACCTGTCTTCTTTCTCCAATGTTAAAAATATTATTCAACAACCTTGATCAAGTCCAAACCACGCACGAATCTTAATTTTACTAGTTGCATCCAACCACATTTTCCTACATGGTTAGTCTATAAAGGCCACAAAGTATGTTTCTTCAACCATCTTTGAATTCATTTGCTTTCAAATGCCTCTCTAAATGTCTTTGTTTCTGGTTTTTGCACCCTTTTGCCACATTGAAAGCATAACAACCAATGTCATAATAACCGTGACCCTGAGATAATAAAATCTCTTGCTCTCTCTCTTTACATTATCATGAGTCAAATGATAATTAAATATCTTTATAAAATTTCTCTCACTAGAACTAGCATCCTTAGTATGGACCTATACCCGACATTGTTTATAATAATTTCGTATCCAGATCTTTACTCGTCATCCACTTTAACAAAAACAATAAATCTACTTATAATGAACTTTAATCTCTTCTAGGTTCCCTTTTTCACAACTTATTTTTATTTCACCTTCCTTTGTAAATAACGGTTGAATTTTGATAAAATATTAACTACTCACTTTAAAATGTTAAAATAAGTAAATTTAAATTTTGTTAATTTAATATAGTTATGATTTATTAAAATGTATATTTAATTTAATTAAATTTTATATTAATTATTGATATTATTCATTTTATATTATAACATAAATCAGCTATTTAAGATATTAATTTTTAAATAAGTATAATTTTTTTAACAATAATATTTATTTATATTTATATTTTAATAAAACTAAATTATTAATATATATAAATTAATAACCTAAACAAATAGTCAATAGGTATTTAAATAAACACATAACAAATAATATGATTACAAAAACAAAAAATTAAAATATAATAACGAAGGCATTTTTCTTGAATATTCGTATGACTTTATCTTAAAATATTTTATTTACTCAGGCTGTCAAAAAATAACTATAATTTATTGATAAGAAAAAAAATATCTTTAAAAAACTCATCTTTTTTTAATATGTATACTAATATATTGGAATATATATTATAGGAGCAGGTGGCAAAAAAGTGGAAAGCGGCGTAAAAAGCGAAGCTCTTTCCTTAGCCTTGGGTTGCATAGAAATATGGTCCAAGTCGATCGAAGTCGGCAATGCAACTACAAACGCAAACGCAAAAGCATCAAGAATCACTTTTTTTTTAATCAATTTTCTCTTTCTGATGTCATCCACATCTTTACTCAATTTATTTCTTGGCTATCATTTACTTATTTTGCTGACTCATTTGCCACCTGTCTCCACCCCCAACTTAGCTCTTTTACTTTTTGCTTTTTCTTCCCTACCACCTCTTTTCACTTTTTCCATTCTAATGCCAATAATAATGTCGCTTTCCATTATTCTCTTTTATTTTCCTACAAATTTGCATCACCAATACTAGAAAATTCAAGTCACCATACATAATTGGTTTTTTAATATTTACATTATTTTATAATAATAAATATTTTATTTATATATTTAGTCTACAAAATTTTTAGATTTAATTAAATTTAGATTCCTCTATTTTATATAATTTATTAAAATAATTATTTTAATTTTAAGTTTAAATATTTTGAAATTTTCTCTCATATTTTTGCACTAAAAATTAATAATATATTATTTTTAAATAAAGCATCACTAATCATCATATTTTTTTCAAGTTAAATAAAAAATATAAATTAAAAGCAGATTATTTCATTATTTCTCAATAAAAATATCAAGAGGAAATGAAATTTATTTAAATTTAAAATAAAAGAATTCATTTTATGAACCTAGTAAAATATGAAGAATAAAATTGTAATAAAGCATTTTTTTTATTTACTCAATAAAGCATTCTTTTTAATTTACATTTAATTATAATTTACCGAAAATATTTATAAAAGTATTTTAAGAATAATCTGCATGGCAAAAATGTATATATATAAATAATAATGTCGGTATACAGAAAGTATTCTCAAAAAGAATAAAAGAATAAGAATATATTACTTTTTTTTTAGTAAATTGCACTGTTTCTTGGATATGATTTTTTCTCAGTAAAGGATATTATTTTTCTTTTTGAATAAAAAATATACAAATGGGTTCTCTTTAAATTTATACTAAAAAGTTTAATAAAAAGTATCAATAAAAATAGGATAAGAGTGCAATAACGTTTTATGACTACGAAAAAAAAGTAGATAACATTTTTAACTCTAACCTTCCGTTCTCTTTGGCATCTAAACTTTTCTTAATTTTTTTTTTTGAAATGCTGACGAGTTATCCTCAGGGCATTAGTTAAGAGATTAAAAGATAAGTTGAGCATTATTTAAAAAATTAAAAATATATATTTTTTAAATATATGTGTATTCAATGCCCTGAAAAGAGAAATAATCAGACTTTTTAAAAAAATATTATGTGTATTGAGTGAACTATATATAACATATTTTTTTTATTTAAAATTCTTAACTAGTGCCACCAATCTTTTTTATATATAAATTTTCTTTATTCTATAGAGAAAGAAGGAATCTCTTTGTACACTTTTGATTATAAATATAGATTTTTTTTTAAATAGTTCGGTTGAAATTTTTAAATCTGGACATGCTTTCTTATATAACTATTAATTGAGATGATTTAATGAAATATAAATATATTTAATTAAAATTAGATTTGATTATCTAGGATATTTTTTTTTTTTTTTGGAATAAAAATATGGACATTTTGTTTTTTTCATTAACAATTTTATAATTATGATCATTTTAAATATTAAAATTTAATAAATAATTTTATAATTATGATCATTTTAAATATAAAAATTTAATAAATAGTTTATATAAAATAATTAAGTTTTAAATATATATTTTTACTTTAATTTTAAATCTATAATAATATGTAAGAACAAAACACTTTTGATGTAGCCTAATGATGAGCCAAAACTAAAAGAATGAAGAGACTTGGGACAAATAATTTGTATGAATTATGGTAATTTTGATCACGTTAAGAACATGTATATAGAAGACAGAGGAACAAGTTGTTAATTTATTTTATTTGTTTACTATGTTTTATTTTTTATTTTGTTATAATAATTTGTATAGTTGTTATATGGTGATTATATATGTGGTTATGATAATTGTTTGTTTCTTTACATTGTCACACAAATCTCTTAAGTATTTAAGAATTTCAACACAAAAAGAAGAAAGACCAACCTATAATGGACACTCAAATTTCAACAATTAAATTTTAATTATTATAATTATTCTTAAATATTTTATTGTTGGTATAAGACATATTTTGTATAGCATGCTATGATAATAGTTTCTTAGATTTTAATCCGCTAACGATATATTTTTTTTATTGTTAAAATAATTTACCCTTGAACCTATATTAAATGTAATAGGTAAGATTTTTCAAATATTATGTTTAATACTTAACTAATTAAAAAGATGAGAAAAAGAATATTCTAGAAAAGAAAATTAAGGAAAAAAGTAACAAGAAAAAAAAAAGAAAAAAATCAATGTATACGTTGTATGCAAAAGAGAACAAATTTAACAGGTCAAAGTTAATGATTTTAAATTTCAAGGCTAAAATCAAGTAATCGTAAAACTTGAGAACTAAAATGATTTTTAAACATAAATTTTATATAAAATTATTATTTAATATATTTAAAAATACGGGTAATGTAAATTCGTTAAAATCTTATTTATAGTAAATTTATATTAAAAAAAAAGATAACAAATTAATTCTATATATTTATTAAAATTAATACATAATTTTCAAAATAATTTTTTTATATTTTATTTTTAAACTTATTTCTAATATACTTAGCATTACTCATAAAAAAAATAACAAATAAAGTCCTGTATACCATAATACCATGATGCAATGCATCACATAATACAAATCTAAATTAATAAATTTTAAAATATATTTTATATATTGTAATTTGACTCAATTTAAAAATATGTATTAAAATTCAGTGGATAAGAATGCATCACATTAATACAAATACAAATTAATAATAAATTAATAATATTACAATATATAAAATATATTGTAATTTGACTCAATTTAAAAATATGTATTAAAATTCAGTGGATAAGAATGCATCAAATTAATACAAATATAAATTAATAATAAATTAATAAATTTTAAAATATATTTTATATATTGTAATTTGACTCAATTTAAAAACATGTATTAAAATTCAGTGGATAAGAATGCATCACATTAATACAAATATAAAATAATAGTAAATTAATAAATTTTAATAATATATTGTAGTTTGACTCAATTTAAAAATATGTATTAAAATTCAATGGATAAGAATGCATTTTAAAAAAGGACATTTAAACAAGTTTAACAAATAAAATTTTATTCATTTTTAAGTCTTTAAATCAATTTACAATTTTAATTTAAGTCAAATTAAATACTAACAATTTTAGTCAAAGCATATTAAACTCTTATTTAAATTATTTTAATAAGAAATCTAAATAACATATATGGAAGGCATTTATACTCAATATGCAGGGTCCAATGTTTGAGGACAAACAATCAAGAGAAAAGAAATCACTTTTGAATAATTAAATAAAAATAAAAATAAAAATAAAAAGGTAATCTTTTAAAAAGAAACACTTTATGATTGCAAAAGGAAAGAGAAGAATTAAAGAATACTTTTTTTATCTACCTAAAAAAAATTACTAGTGTGTGTCTTTGATGCCTCACGTTCTTTATGCTTTTTGCAGGGTACCTTTTTCTTCACAGGGTTTATAGTGCAAGTTTGAACTCTTTCTTTCTACCCTTTTAAAAGTTGTCTTGTTTTCTAACAAATTTTAGATACAAAATATATAAAAAAAACACTTTTTTTTTCTCTTTCTTTTCACACTCACACGTTTGATTTTTACTCTGTTTATGTTCTGTTTTTTTTTTGGTGTTCAAGGTTCTTAGCTTAGCTTCAAACTGTGTAACTTCAACGACAACATCAAAATTCACATGAACATGTCTGAAACTGAGACAGAGAAGAATCATCCTGGTATTAAGCTGTTTGGATGGAAGATTCCGGTTAACTCTTCACCAATGGTACATATATATAACAATATAATTTTTTTTTTTCATAAAACATGGTTTTTATTTTGTTATATGTTGTATTTAAAAATGGGTTGATGCAAATTTTGGATTTTTATTTTGTTTATTTGTTTATGAGGTTGTTGAAATTTTTGGGTATGTTTTAGGTGAAGCTAGTTAGTTATAGTGATGATTGATGAAATATAATTTTGAATTCATTTTATGTTCTTAATTGTGAATTGATTCTAACTTGATTATACTGCTAAAATTGATTTTTAAACTTTAGTTCATTGTTTAATTTACTTTTACATGAATCTATATGAACATAGATAACTTTAATTATAATCAATTTTGACGCTGCAAATTGGGTTTTGTCTATTCTTAGGTTATGTTTTTGGTTCTTATTCTGCTTAATATATAACTGATTGTGGTTTAAATTTTAGGATACTTGCAGCAATACAAAGAAAGCATCAGTGGAAATGCTTTCTGCGGAAAAATCGGAGCGACGAGACAATTCTTCGGATTCAATGGATAGTAAACAAGAGTCTGAAAATAATATGCAGGAGAAAGAACCGCCGATAGTGAGCTCGAACTCGAAGCCTGATGAAGATATCACGGAGACGGGTGATACTGATCAAGATAAAATGTTGAAGAAACCGGACAAGATTGTTCAGTGTCCGCGGTGCAAAAGTTGGGACACCAAGTTTTGTTATTTCAACAACTATAATGTGAACCAGCCGCGGCATTTCTGCAAGAATTGCCAAAGGTATTGGACTGCTGGCGGAACGATGAGAAATGTTCCTATAGGTGCTGGGAGGCGAAAGAATAAGCATCTTGCCTCTCAGTATCGGCAAATTATAGTAAACTCGGATGGAATTCCGATCTCCAGGCAAGAAACTACGAGCTTATCCGGTCACTGTCATGAGTCGAGGGATAATGAAACTGTGTTGAAATTTGGTCCAGATACTCCTCTCCGCGAATCAATGCATTCGATGCTTAATGTTCGAGACCATAAAAGAAGTACTGATGCAGATTCTATTGGTAATGTGCAACAAAGAGAGGAACCAATCTTATGTGGATCTTTGGTTACGAACACCGGTACTCGAGGAAATGAGTGTTCCAATCACAATGCATCGAATTGGTTGCAGTGCTATCCTGTTCCTCCGTGGGTATTACCGATGAATCCAGGTTGGAATAACGTCGCTTCCATGGCAGCAATTCATCCAACTTCTGCATCCATGTGCAACCCTTACAACGCTGCGGTTCCAACTGCAATGCAATGGTGTCCGCCACCGCCTATGTTCGCAATTCCAGGAATTAGGCCACAAAACATACCTTTGCAACTTGTATCCGCCTCACGCTTGAATGGTCCGTCACTCTGCCTCTCGCCGCCTTCCTCCACAAGTAACAGCTGCTCGGGTAATGGCTCGCCAACCCTAGGCAAACACACTAGAGATACCGTCTTCGCAGATGAAGACAAATCAGACAAGTGTATTCCGGTTACAAAAACGGTTAGAATCGATGTCCAAAACGACGTCCCGAAAAGTCCTACTCGGATTTATGGAGAAGGCAAAAACAGTTTGTTGGAAGGCAACAACTCAACTCAGCAGCTACTCTCTCCGGAATGAATTATAAGTAAAAAGTGTTCAAAAAATCAAATATAGTAATCCATTTGATCTTTGAGAAAGCATAGAATAATTATTTTCTAGCTTCAAAATTTTCATTGATATTTTCATCTAAATAAACTAGTACATATTGTTGCTCTTTGTTTCTCTTGCAGATATTTTGTTTTACAAATAGCTTTGTTTTGTGGAATCCAATGTAACATTTTATTTTAAATACTTCCATTTTGATTTAGAATCCATTCACATCGCATATAATGAAATAAAATTCTTCTCGTGAATCCAAATTTGAATATCTCTATGTGCTAACAATATCTGCGTTAGACAATCTATACAACGTAGACGGTGAAATTAATCATCTTAAGTAGTAGAATATTCTAAGACCGAATGCCGAGTTTTAAAAATGTTCGAAACAACTAATGCATAAATTACTTTCACCAAGCACTGAGTCAAACATACTATTATTACTTCCATATGATACAAATGCATGAGTTGTTATTTTTTAATTTGGATTCCTTCAAATGGAATTAAAGGAAAGAGCAACACAAAAAGTGTTGAAAAACAATACTTTACATTTTTCTAAAAGTGATTTCCCATGAAAGCATTATCATGTACGGGAAAAAAAGTGATGAGATTAGTAAGAAGTCTCTTTTAAGCTGGTTAAGTTATTATCCTTTATCTTTAGGGAAAAACATTACCCTACTTACGTTTTCTTTATTTTTCTCTTGTCTAGCGACATGCAAGTCATAATTAGAAATTCTTTTAAGTGCAGTTCTAACAAGGCAAAGACTCATAGTCTTTTATTCTAAGTGCTTTTACTTTATCACTTTTTTCTAGCTTTTTTTGGTGCAATTAATCTTGTTTTGTTAAGCAAAGTTTCTATGGGGGTTAAAAAGCCTTGTTTTGTGGCTCTACTTTTTATGATATAAAAGAACCTTTTACTAACCAATTAGGTGTAGGAGTTTCTTTATAGGAACGTAAATGATAACTGGTGGAGTGTCTGCTTTTTTGACTCATGTTATATGAATTGTGTAAATGGCTCATTTGATAAAAGGGTTCTTTTACTTATTAAATAAAAATAAAATTCAAATCTAGATCAATTTTTGTGGGGTTTGAGTGTTAATGAGTGCTTTACAAAGGAATTAAATGTTAACTATATAAGATTAATATATCTAATATTTATGAGAAATATATGGTGCATTAGATTTGAAAAAGATAGAACAATAGATATTAATACATAACAATACAAAACAATTTCTTGTATTTCACTATTGATGACATACTAGACAAACAATTTTATAATACATATTATTTAATATATTTGTCCACTAGATAAATGTTATTATTGACAAATTTTTATTCGCCATTATGTTAAGTAAAATGTTATGACTTATTTGATTGAATCAATAAATTACTTTTTTTTTTAATTCAATCATAGATTTTATTTTAAAAAAAAACATTCTGATTTACTAAAGATGTTGAAATTTTTATTTTTGAAAAATTAAAATATAATTAGATTTGATTTCTTAAAGATTCAAAATTAGTTTTAATGAAGAAACATTCATCTTGTGCTTTTTGAAAATCAGTCATTTTTATGTCAAAATCCTTTTGGGATTTTTCATTGAGTGTTGCTATTATTTAAGGAAAGGTCACGCCTCGTTTAAAGACTAGATATTAAAGAATTAAGTTTATCATTTTCTTGTTTTCATGGAGTCTTTTGTTTTGTGTTTGTAATATTCTAATATTAGGTATTTTTCATAAGTTAGAAGAATAGATATTTAATTGTAACTATGATTATCACGCCTCTTTTTTATATAACTGTACACACATCTGAGAAAGTGTTTGAGTGAAAGTGATAGGAGTCTCATATTCAAGGTGAGTTTGAATCAAAATTTACTAGTAGCATTAGAAAAAGACTACTGAATTGGAAGAGTTCAAATAAGACTGTCGTGTACTATTGACTTAGTGAGTTTATTTTATGGGTTGATGTCCTCCAGACATAAGTGACTTTTATCGTATCTTAAAAAATATGATCCTTGGTAAGGCGCTCTCGTACTCACGGAAAATGATATGAATACAGTCGTCACCGAATTTTATTTATTGCAAAGAAGAAAAAGAAAAATATCGATAAAATTCTTATAAAAAAAGATGGTCATCGCAACCATATTTGGGTTCGAGAGTCTATTACGCAAGGGGAAGATATTAGCACCCCTCACGTTTGTTGTACTCAACGAGAACCTTTTAGTTAAATTTGTGATTAAATGTTAGCCTATGTTATTTATTTTCTTCGAGTGATAAAATGATGTAAAATGAAAAGAAAAGGGGTCGTAAAAATGTTTATATTAAGGTGCTTGACGAGATTGCGGGTCTTGCTCCTACTTATCCTCGGGTACAATGAGGAACTCAAAGCTTTGTAGTTCGGGGTAGAAAACAACGTTTTTATTGGTTGGTTTGTTTCAATAAACAAGTGTTTAGATTGCCCTATAACGGTTAAAAATTAGTTTGTATGCTTGCGAGGTAGGCTTAAGCGCTTGTTTGTATTCACATTATATCAAATCAAACAATGTTCTTTTTTAAATGGTTTTTTTAGCACGAGCGAGAAAATGAGTTTTATGTGTTGAGTGTTTTTTAGGAGAATGACGAATACTTTGTGAGAATGAGACGTGAGTCTCGGGACCAATTATTCGGGATTTTCATAGAGTGCTAGACTCCAGTATTCCTTTTTTATTCAAGGTATTTATGAAATTTGTTTGATGGACAACGAACGTTCGATAAGAATGAAACGTGTGTCTCGGAATGCCAGACTCCAAAAGTCATTTTATGTCCAAAATTATATTAAGTGTTTTAGAAATGAAAGAAAGAATAAACAGCAAGACGTATGCCTCAGGACCGATCATTCGAGAGTTTCATGGAATGCGAGACTCCAATGTTCCTTTCCTTTCGTGTTTGTTAAGAAAAAACCTTTTAAAGTTACGTTTATTTAAAAAAAGATTTGAATTTGCATCGATACAAATTAATCGATTTTGAAAGGCCCACTTGGTGTTGGATCAAGATTTTTGAATAGACCACTAGGTGTTGGACCAAGGATTTTTACACTTTCCCTATTAATTATTTAAGGGCTTATTTATTTATTTATTTATCATTTATCATTTATTTATTTATTTTATTTGAAATAATTAAATAAAAAAATAAATGACACTAATAAGAATAAATTAAAAAAATCAATGGATGTGAATAAAGAATTTTACTAAATTAGTATTTATCACTATATTTTAACCATTTAAATTAATTATCAAAATTAAAATAAATAGGTAATAATAATAATAATAATAATAATAATAATAATAATAATAATAATAATAATAATAATAATAATAATAATAATAATAATAATAATAATAATAATAATAATAATAATAATAATAAAGTAAAAGGGGTGTATAAACAAGAAACATGACTGCAACTAATAAGAGCCCAAGGCCCAAAGGTCTATAATGCAAAGCAAAAATAAATAATAAATAAAAAAAGTGAATAGAAAAGAACATGGATGTGAGAATCAAAAGCCCAACATGCTGGTCAACGGGTCAGCAAATAAGGAATAGTTAACATTTGTTGACTCAATCCCAGACCCTTGGATCGAACTAGCATGAGATCTTATGGAAGAAGGAAGTGCATGCACACAGTTATGGTAGGGGGATCCACATAGGATCCCCAAGTTGATTTGAGGTTAACACCAGATGGAGGTTTCATGGGGGCCACTTGTTAAGCATGTAGGGAGCACAAAGGGACATACAAAACACAACTCAGAAAGATAATGTTCATTTATGACACTCGATTCTCTCTCCTCCCTTCAGAGCTTCAAAGATCTCTTCTATTTTTCTTATGAACACCATTAGTGTTCGTCATGAACACCGGGTTCCGCCACTACTTCCTCTGCAGCCTCCTGAATCCGATTGAGTTTCAATCGGAAAACTCAATAAGAGTACCAAACATTCCCAATTACCATCCACTTTGCTCCAAATACAAATTTCCCTAATATAAACATCACCCCAAATCTTCCCTTGAACCCTTTTCTTCCGTTAATTTCAAACAAAAACCTCTCAAACCCTGGGATCGAGACTTAGGGTTTCAAAAACCCTAACCTCTATATCTTCATTATTAAAGTGAAAATAACCCCAAGCCCTCAAGTAAAATCCCCACTCAACAATAAATCAATTAATGAAGACACGCATCTACATTAAAGCAAACCAAATGAAAAAGGTGAAATTCTGTTATGCAGATCTCATGTGTCCCAAGAACATTGATCTCTGCTCAACAAGGACGAGGACAGACCATGAACAATTTAAATTTCTTTAAATTGTCCCAATGTCATGACCAACGTCATAACCTCTGTTGTGACATCTACATGCTGACAGACTATTTATCTAAACATTTAAATTGTGCATAATTTTAAATGCTGAAAGATAAATAACACAGTAATTATTTACCCAGTTCGGTGCAACATCACCTACATCTGGGGGCTACCAAGCCAGGAAAGAAATCCACTATTAGCATAATTAATTTATAGTTAAACCTCTAGTTTACACTCATCACTTAATCTCTACCCAATGCAATTTCAGCCTAGAGACACTCTAGTACCTGAGTATACCCACTCACTCCCCCTCAATCACACAACAGTGACTTCTAATTCACAATTACAAAAACAACATGAAGAGACACTTCATACATACCTTGATCTTGCTTCACAGCTTTGATCAAGGAACTCACACACTCTTGCTTCACAGCTTCGAGTGGGACACAGCCTAGAATCTACCTATCCAATGCAATCAACCACCAGACAATTGCTTGGAGTACAAGTATTCCTAAACAGAATTCATACGTAAAGACTAGCCTTCTTCACTTACAAATATGTCTACCACAATGTATCGAAAGATACAAAGGGTGACTTACAACACAAGGGACTCTCAAACCCTAGACCTCTATTTTATACTCAAGTTCGTCTTGAT